CACAATTTCTAATGGGCAAGAGAACAGAGAATCCGGCTCAGTATGTAGTAATTATATAAGACTACGATTCAAGACAGTATCTCAAATCTACTAACATTTACAAAATATACAGCTTTTTCTCAGCTACCTTTACTTTTCAGATGTGGATTATGTCACAGAACTATAAAATGTTTCCGGATTTAATTACTTAAGACAATAATTAAACCAATCGTACCTGCCAGAGAGGGTCTTTTTGATCGGGAAATAGCTCAAAATACTTGTGAGCCAGTTGCACTGGAGGCAGAGTCTGAAGTCGCAGGTTGGTCCAGCTGTGCACGAAGTTGGCCAGATTAACAAATGTATACAGCCCCAGCCGATCGTTCCCGTAGTTGGACAAATGGGTCATGAATATGCTGATCTGAAAAAGGCAAATGAAGATCAGAGTAAAGTTCAGTTACTAACACTAGAGGGCAGTGTAATCACAGAAATGCTACGTTTTTCCTTCCATGGTCTTTGCACAGGATTTCAGTTCGTGGCATGATTTTGGATTTTGGATATATCCCCCAAACTCTCATTACATTACATTAATGAATATTAGAGGATTCTTTGGCTGCAAGACTTTATCAGCATTTTTTCTTGAACACAATCTATTTCACGACAAAAAATGAGATCAACACCTCACTGCTGCCATAGACCCCCTCTCCCACACATTAGCTCCATGTCGGTACAAGACTGATGTTGAATAGCATATCCTAGATGTCAACGCCTAGTGGCCTCACGATGTGTGAACTATTAATCATTTGAAGCAGCACTCCAGAAAATTGGGATTTAGCAATTTTAAACTACTTAATTCGGTTTACACTGTAGAACTTCAAATTAAGGTATAAGATATCAAAGAATTGATACTATCATTAACTGAATGTCCTCTAATTTGAGTTTCTTAGAGGCTCTAATAATAACAGGATGGTGCCTGAGTTTTACTAAAATAACTATTAACCATTTTCCATCAATAGTACTGTCAAATCTGCTTTCATCTTCCTTGGGTCCATTATTCCCAGAAGTATAAAATACTTCTTTTAAGAAAATTGTTCAATGCTTGTCTAGATAAAATTGACTCTTCTGGTGGAAGCAGCTGACCTAGATTGAGTCATGCATTTTTTTCATTTTGTTGTGAAAAAAAAAATCACAGCAAATATGGGGAACGTTTTATAAAATAACTTTTAATTCTGTAGATTTCAGTAAATTGATCTGTGTTATAGATGTACAATAGATATTATTAATGCTACTGTTTTGAGAATGCAAATAATATTGTTGATTAGTTGTTGACAAATGGAAAGAATTATTCTGCATGAGATTATGATATATATATATATATATATTTTTTTTTTTTGCAGTTTTTTTTGGTCAGGGCTGGGTTTGAACCCACCACCTCTGGTAAATGGGGCTGGCACCTTACTCCTTGAGTCACAGGCGCCACCCAAGATCATAAGATTTTTAAAGTCAAAGAAAACCATTGTGGTATTTATACTGCTGTAAAAAAATCATAAAAATAATTCATGTTATCATAGTACTTTCTGAAAATACTATATGATCTCGTGTGAATGAATAGTAATAATGGTTATTATAATCATCACAATAATGAATATACTATGTGACAGGTCATTCATTAAGAAGCTAAAAGAAATATTCAAGAGAATTCATTGGGGTAAAGTGGCAGAGTTAAGAGAAAAAGTCATATTAAGGTTTGACATGACAAATAAGAAAAAATATAATTACAACTTAAGAAGAAATAGTAATTTCTTGTAATTTTCTTTCTTTCCTATATTCTATAGAACAAATCTTGCAGGCTTTCGTATAAAAAGTTTCAACTGTGATCAAGAATACTTAATTGTGTATATATTCACCCTGTTAGAACATATATTAAATCTTAGAACTTTTGCAAACAAAATACTTTGAGAATGATTTTAAATAGCTATCTATATTAGCAGACTAATGTGGTCATAGAATTGTTAAGTTAAGACATTTTACCATTTGGAGGGATCTTTAAAAAATGTAACCTTGTGGTTATTTTTTTGTAGTAGCTTAAATTTTGTGACTTTTTAAATCTCCTCTTTTTCTTCTTAAAAACAAAACATTAGATAATCGAGAAACTTATGAAAATTATTTTTAAATTTGAAAATTCTTTTCAAATGTCTGCTCGAGGAAGCATTTACCTATTTGTTTTGTAAGCCACATTTTCCAACGTAGCTTAATAATATAATAGCAAGATAATGCCAAGTTGACTTTCTCTTAAACAATATTTTAATGTAACTTTAAAAATAAACGTATTTAGGGTGGTGCCTGTGGCTCAAAGGACTAGAGTGCCGGCCCCATATGCCAGTTCAAATCCAGCCCTGGCCAAAACCTGTAAATAAATAAATCAATCAATAAAATAAACGTATTTTAACCTAATGGGCCACTAGTTCAAATTTGTTACTTTATTTTGATGAAAGATATTCAATAAATCTATCTGTGTCCTATTTTACTTGCATAATATCTGCAGCAGACAGGAAGTGGGAAACTTAGAGATACTACATGACTTCATGATACTAACACATTTAAACTGCATTTGAATTCACTTTTAAATTTCAGAGCACATTTTATTCTGTGACAAAGCAGAGAGCCACTTTACTACCTTCATGACTATAGAAAACTAAAAAAAAATTGCTACTCTTTCTGATAAAGACAGCGGCACATCAAAATGAGTTATGAGCTAGGTACTGACCTCACTTTCAATGAAATTGAACCTCATTTGCAAGAATTAAGGGAACACTTGCAAGGTGTTGAACTTAGTCCTATGAAAGAAAACCATTTAGCCTCCAAGTGCGGAACCGTTCCCAGGGTTTTAGTTCTATTTTTGCATTCCCATTTTATCATAATGCAAAGTGCCCCAGAAGTGAAAGGCCTGTTTCAAAGTGATATTTTTGTAATGTGTGTTACTTTATGACTCTTTCAGACATTGGGCTCAAGCCTGGGATTTGTTTTGCGCTCCTAAAGAAATATAAGCCATAAAAGCAGTATAATTTGTCAGAACATTAAACACTTCAATTTCTTTTTACGCTATATTTTAAATGAATCACAATATTCTCTCTAGACACGTGGTATTGTACATCTTTTGCTCAACATGCAATGTCTACAAGTTTTCTTTTTTCTTTTTTTAGTCGGAAGGTGTGCATGATAGGCAATAGGATTGCTGAGAACAGATGACAGGAATGTCTGGGTCAGAAAGTTAGCTTGCTTTCCAAACAGTGCTTATTCCTTACCTGTGTTCTGACCTAAGACATTTATCATGTCACTTCACCTCTTGGCAATTCCTCACCTGAAAACAATTTATGTACAGCGTAGAAAGAAACCAAAAAGAAAAAGAAAAAGAAAAAAAGGAAAGCTTGAAAAGGCTACCACTTCAAAAAAAGTAGATATTCATCTTTTCCTAGAGATATTAATTTTATCCGTATTTTTTAATTTTTTATTATTTTTAGTTCATAATATTAGAGGGTACACATGTTTTGTTCTTACACTCTGTTTTTCTACAGATTGAGGCAAATAGGAGATACTTTTATAATTTTAAGAGTGTTTCGGCTCAGCACCTATAGCTCAACCGGCTAAGGCGCCAGCCACGTACACCTAAGGTGGCAGGTTCAAATCCCCAGCCCGGACCCGCCAAACAACAATGACGGCTGCAACCAAAAAATAGCCAGGCGTTGTGGCAGGCACCTGTGGTCCCAGCTACTTGGGAGGTGGAGACTCGCTTGAGCCCAGGAGTTGGAGGTTGCTGTGAGCTGTAATGCCAGGGCACTCTACCCAGGGGGACAGCTTGAGGCTCTGTCTCAAAAAAGAAAAAGAGTGTTTCAGAACTGAGGTTTTATTTTTGGTTTTTTTTTTTGAAAAGATAGTATGGGTCAAAAATTATTTTTATTATGTTATCCTCAGAGATTCCAATGAGAAGGAAAATGTCAAAAGAAGTTACACTTGCATTTATTAATTTTTTTTTTGCTATAAACATACTCTGAGTAATTAGTTACCAGAAAGACTAAAGAACTGTTTAAGACTCAAATCCCTAGAAACTCTGCCAGAGTCACAATGTTTATTTGATTAACAATTGAAAAAATTCTTTCTAGCTTGATAGACATATACATGTATAACAAGATATTTATCTGTGATTTTTTTTCTGTAAAAGGGAAAAAGTAAATGCTTAATACTGCTAGGCATACACTAGTATTTGTGAGGAAGGAAATAGATACTGTTCATCAAAGTTTAAAATGAGGAAAAATAAATATGAGAAATTTATCTATACTTTTCAGCATTAACTCTGGAAATCTATTACGTTCAAGGTATGGGGGATGCATAAATCACAACCAAGAATACATCAAAACATGGGTTCTGGTGCAAAAGCTGTTGATGATGATACTGGACAAAGTGGCACCCCAGTCAGCTCAGCTGAGCAGGGCTGGGGGACCTGCCACCTCCGTCTTGGCTGCAGCAGCCGGCAAAGGAACCAGCAGGCTGGAGCAAGTGGAGGGAGCTTTCCTTTCCCACCGGAGGATCCAGTAGCAAAAAAGACCAGACTGAGCAGAGGAAAACACTGGCGATTCCTCCAGTGCATCCCTAATTGGTCCATTTTCAATCTATTCAGGAGAAAATAGACCAATCAGCTCAACTTTCAGCGAATTGGACAACTGCCCCTATATAACCCCCTGAGTAGAGAGCCTAGGGGCAGATCGCAGCAGACCTTCGAGGGAGAGAGAACAGGGGAGCAAAGAGCTCAGCAGATCACTGCAGACCATTGAGGGAGAGAGAAAGAACAGAAGAGGAAGAGCTGTAACACTTGCATCCTGCCCTGCAAGGAGGTTTGGCTCTTTGTAAGAGCTGTAATACCTGTTCAATAAAACCTAACTTCCATCCTGTGATCCTTCGATTCATTCATCGAATTGTCAAGACCAAGAGCCTGGAAATCCAATATCAAAAGTCAGGTATCAATGAGACAGTAACTGTTGTCTTTCTTTGGAGAAGGTCGGGGAGAGCAGAGAGGATGTAGGGAAGTTCATGACCACGCTGCTCAGTTCAAATGCACAGATATTTTTATGATTATCCTGCTAGTTGCCAGCTGCTCTGCCTAGTGCTGGAGTTGCACATACAAAGAGGATGCTCATTCTTTTCAGTTTTGTTCATGAAAAGATTCAGAATTCAAGAAGTGTAGAAGAGTTTACAGTGAGGAAAGTATCCCTCCCCACCCCCACCACGTCCCGCAGCTGCCGGTTTTATTTTGTTTTAGTATCCTTCTGGGTGACCAAAGATTCACAAGCTTTAGCCCACATACAAATCCACTGGGAAGGTTTTAGAAGCTGTAATTGCCAGGATTTGTACTCAGAGATTTAATTT